TTTATTTTTTTCACACTTCCATTGCATTTTTGTCAAGCAAAGCAGGGTGCATGGGAGTATGTGGCTACAAAACAACAAGAGCCTAACCTCACAAATCGAGCAGTTTTCAATTGAGTATCGAAAGTGATCTTGGATTGCTTTGGTTTTGCTTTACTTCGCTCTCTGATCGATAGAGAAAATTCGCGTCACCACTTCAGCCAATCAAATGCGAAACTAGAACCACTCCCAACCTGGTCACTCGCGTTTTCAAGCCAGTTGCCTCTTGTTACATTGATTTCTCATTGGTTAATGATGACGTAATGTTTCCTTTGATTAGTAGTTGTGCTGACTTTTGTTTAAGTTTTTCCACACCCAATTGAAAACTGCTCCACAAACTGAATGAGGTGACAACAAAGATGTACCTACGCTAGCCAAATCTGTCGGTTTTACCAAAGCAGAAAACCCTTGAGCTAAACCCTTTACATCCTAACATCAGTATGCATATTCTCCATACTGTTCTCTATACATTTCCTAAGCTGCTGACAAGGAGAGTTTGTTGAACAATCCTGAGCTTCTATAGTTGGTGACCACTGCCTTTGTTCTCCCGCTGATCTCTTTATGTGTGATTCAGGGGTTATACTGTGAGGAAAAAATTCGATGCTGGAAACTCACAGGGGTCAAAAGCTTAAGGATTAGCGGATGTGTCTTTAGATATTGTCGTTTTAAAAGATTGGCGCGTTAAAACTTCGTTTATCCTTCATTTCCCCCCCTCCACCCCCCAAGATCTGCGGTTTGTCGCCCTGGCCAGACCCCCCTCCTCGTACGTACCCGTGATGAAGGTGGATGGTAAGGCGCAGGTCCGTCCGAGTCATATCGGGGATCCCGGCCATGTGGTGGATAAACAATATCGCGTAAGAAGGCAGGCGGCTCTGGAAGGCCATCATCTGAATTAATAGCAAAAGCCATTAGGAAAAAAGACAAAGTAACACAACAACAGCAACAACAAAAATCACAAACAACAACAGTAATGACGTTTAAATTCAAGGCTAAAATGCTTCACATTGCACGATGTTTATCTCAAAATAAAGGTACACGGGGGTTGGTAAGAGTTATAAAGTTTTCATTTTTGCGACAAAGAGAATGGCTTTTGATGAAAAAGAAACTGTATCGATGAATGGTAATTTGGTTTTATCAACCGAGTTTCTAATGCAGACTACCGTAGAGTGTTTGAAAGCTGACGTTCCGAATGTGAGACCGAGAGCAATGAGGAATGGCTAACGTTGGAAACGTCAGCTTTCACACTCTCTATCGTATTTTACATTATCAACTCAGTTGAAAAAAAAAGGCCAAACTGTTTTGCAAAACTCCCCAACGACGCAGCCTCACAGTTTCTTTGGAAACTAACCCGCTTCATTAGATGCTACACACTCTTAGGAGCCAAACGGGTAAGGAAAGGGTAATATTTAACATTTATTAACGAACGAACTTGAAAAAAGGTCTAACGCGATTTGTAAGCTATTAAGTGTGTTACATTCTAATTCCGTGTTTGTCTGTCTCTGTCTCTCTTTTTTTTTTTTTTAATCAAATCAATGACAATGATAATCATAGCAATAGCAATCATAGCAAAGGATGTAACACCTTTCAAAAACTCAGCAGTACCATTTCCACTCATTCAAAGTCGGCTAAAAGACAACAAGCTCACCTGGATAGTTTTCGTAATTATTAGAAATCGGTCGGTTGCTGGGTATCATAGCCATGGGGGGTGGTAGGTCCGGGGGCCTCTCACTCGGTGGGAGATTGGACGGATCATCCAAATCTAAGTCGTCATCATGCATTGGGAGGTTCTCGAAAGATCTGTCTTCAGGGGTGTACTGTGGGGGAGGCCCTGTGTGGTTGAGTGCATTTCGATGAGTTTCAAAATGACAAAAACATA